GCTCCCGGGGAATTGATCCCCCTCTGCCCCTCTCTGGGGCTGGAAATACCTCTCAGCAGCCTCCCTCCTCCAATCCAGAGTGAGATGCTGCTCCAGAAGTGTGGTAATTTGCTTCTCTTCTCTTCCGGTCTCCAGCTGTAGCCCTGCCGGCCTTCCATGCTGTAAGCATTGCCTGCTTTCACTTTTCTCTGTCTGTCGCTGCTGGCAGCTTTTCCTCTCCTGACCTCCCCTGCCCAGCACATAAGGCACCTCAGGGCTTTTGTTTACTCTCTCTCTCTCTCACTCCTTCACAGCGCATCAGAGAGAAACCTGCCCTCAAGTGATATAACTTTAAGCCATCTACGGTTTGGTTAAAATTAGTTTCATGTGTTAATGTGGTGATAATCCTGGGTTTAAGCACTCCAGGAACTGCCTAAAATTAATGTGTAAGAAAGCCCTGGGAGTGTATTCAATATTGATGACAAGCTCTTTGTCTTCCCCTTACCTTCTACCACTGCCTGAAGGCATCCTGAGGGGGAAGTCTGAATCTTTTTTTCTCACTGTTAAGAAATGTCATGTGAAAATACACAACACTAGTTATATCTTTACTTATGCAGAGGGAAGGTAGTTGCCACTGAAACAGCTGAGATACTGAATTGCTAAAATATTCTTCCCAATTTAGAAAACCTTTTTGTAAAAGAGGGTGCTGCTTCTGGTAAAGTGTTTTGTTTTTTTCCTGTGAACTGTTACCGAAAAGTAGTACTGCATGGGATTTATAAAACAATTGAAGCAATCAGCATTCCAAATGATTATGAAATAAATTAGTAGTACATTTTAATGTCCAGTGATTACTTTATAACAATGTGGTAACAGGCATTAGTAATTAGACTGAGAAGGTCAGAGGCAATTCTGAAAAATATGGAGTTATTTACAGTAGAACAATTTTATTTTGATTACTTTGAAATGTACATTTCCCTTTTTGTCTCCCTACTCTTGATTAAAATCTTCAGTGCTGATTAAATCTAATACTGATTTAAATTTTCAGTAGTGCTTTATTAAAACATATACTGTATTTTTCATCTTCTTCTCAGTTGCTCATATCCAGGATTCCTCTGGAATTTTGAGTAGTGAGTTCTTCCTAAATACTCTGCATTTTGCTCATTTATAGTGATTCTACAATTTAGAATATGCATTTTATAACATATTAAGAAAATCTGGTTGATGGTATGATTTGTGTGACTGAGTGGCTGTCACCAAATAAAGTCAATCAGCTGTGCCAGGATGTGTTCTGGCTCAGCTGAACTGCTTTGAGTGAAACGGATAGTGTCCACTGTCCCACAGGATTGGGCCTCTGCTGCTCCTAGGGCTTCAGGGGCCTGATCCTGCAGGGCAGTACTCAGGAGGGGTGCCTCTGCAAGTAAGGAAAGCCTGGGTGTTCCTGGTGGCAAAGGTGTGCCTGGTGATTCTGACTTGACTCATGCCACTGCAAATGGGGAAAACTGGGCAGGCACTTACAGGGCTTCAATGTCCTGATCTTGTGCTCCCCGGGAATTCTCCCTGTGGGGGAATTCTGAATAAAGAAATAATTTGTACCATGCAGGACTGAGCCCAGGGCAGCTGGTGAGCTTGAGTAGCTTTGGGCTGTCCATGCTCTTCTGCCACAAACAAATATTTGCTGCAAAATAGTGGCACAAATGAATACTAGCTTTTGTTGCAGCCAGAATTTTTGGTATTTGTGGTGTGATAAAGGGCTTGAAAGTCTGTTTGCTTTTACTTTGTGCTGCTGTAAACGATTTTACGGTGGCACAAAGGAGATGGGGCTCTTTGCAGCCTGAGTTACTCTGTTCCCAGTGAGGTTTTATGCTGCAAAATGTTTCTGTGTAAGAGAATGGCTTATGTTGCAAATGTCTAGTGTAATGTCAGGCATTTGTTTCACAGAAATTAGGGATGCAAGAGATGTAATAGGTCATTTCATGTGCTCTTTTGCCAATACAGGATTATTCCATTTCCAATTTTTATACCCTTGAGCAATCCTAATTTTTTTCAATAGCTTCAATTGCAGGTCCTTCATAATTTCCTAGGAAGGGAGTTCCTCTGTTTAATAGATCTCGCCGCCAGGAAATTTTGCCTAAAATTAAGAAAAGTAGATTTTAAGAATGTAGTATTTTGTAAGACTTAGTTCTCAAGATACTTAAAATAGACTGGTAGAAACAATGAAAGTGCAAAGCAGGGAAAAAAAGTTTCTTCGCTTCCAGGGAAATGCCCCTTATTACTTGAAATGTACCCCTCCCCACCTCCAATTTTTGTGATTCAGTCTCTCAACATCATGTCATATCCTAATATGCAGTAACCATCCTGATATGCTAAATGGGTACTTTGTGTCAGTCTTTCACAAGTCCCATGAGACGCCCCTGCCCATTATAGGACAGGGATGCCTAAGTGAGGGTGGTTCCTTGCCCTCCATCAATGCCCCTGGCATGGATCTTCGAGAGCTCATGGCGCTCTGGTGAAGTGCCTGATGATTGGAAGAAGGCAAATGTGGTTCCTATCTTCAAGAAAGGGAGGAAAGTGGATCCAGCAAAGTACAGGCCTATCAGCCTAACCTCTGTCCTGGGGAAGGTCTTAGAAAAAGTCATCAAGGAGGTCATTCTTAATGGACTGGCCGATGGCAACACCCTGAGGGACAGCCAGCATGGTTTTGTTGCGGGTAGGTCTTGCTTGACCAATCTCATTTCCTTTTACGACCAGGTGACTTATCACCTGGACAAGGGGGAAGAGATTGATGTCATATATCGTGACTTTAAAAAAGCCTTCAATCTGATATCCCATGATCACCTTTTGACAAAACTGGCCAACTGTGGCCTCGGGTCCACCATGATCTGTTGGCTGGGGAATTGGCTCTGTGGTCGGACGCAGAGGGTGGTGGTTGATGGAAGTCAATCATCATGGTGCCCTGTGACCAGTGGGGTCCCTCAAGGCCTTGGACTATTTTGTTCAACCTCTTCATTAGTGATGTGGACATTGGAGTCAGAAGTAGACTGGCCAAGTTTGCCAATGACACCAAACTTTGAGGTAAAGCATCCGCACCTAAGGACAGGGGGATAATTCAGGCTGATCTTGACAGGCTCGGGAAATGGGCAGATGAGAACCTGATGGTGTTTAACACCGAAAAATGCAAGGTTCTCCACCCTGGGAGGAAAAGCCTGCAGCACGTCTATAGGCTTGGCAGTGCTACGCTGATTAGTACTATGGACTAGAGGGACTTGGGGGGTCATGATTCACCACAAGATGAACATGAGCCTTCAATGTGATGCTGCGGCTAGTAAAGTGAGCAAAACGCTGCCTTGTATCCATAGATACTTCTCAAGCAAATCCCAGGACGTCATTCTCCCCTTGTACTCGGCCTTGGTGAGGCCGCAGCTGGAGTAGTGCATCCAGTTTTGGGCCCCAAAATTCAAAATGGATGTGGAGAAGCTTGAGAGAGTCCAGAGAAGACCCACATGCATGATCAGAGGTCAGGAAAACAGACCTTATGCCGAGAGGCTGAGAGCCATGGGACTTTTCAGCCTGGAAAGGCGCAGGCTCAGGGGTGACAGCGGGGCAGCTCAGCCTGCCCCGAGGTGCCTGTGAAGTTGCTGCAAGCACAGAGCTGATGACAGAGCTGTTCAGCCTGGTGCAGCTGTTTGCAGCCTGCCTGCTGCTTGCTGTAGCTGTGCAGAACTCGAGCCAGCTACAGACAGCTGTGCTGGGCTCATCACCTCTGTGCTGGGAGCAGGGGAGAGACCAGGGCCGTGCTGCCTCAGGCCCCTTCCCACCGCCCACTCTGAGATGCACCTGCACATGCCGGTAAGGAGCTGATGCCGGAGCCCGGCACAGCTGTTTGGAGCCTCCTGGCTCTGGGGAGCTGCTGCCAGCCAGGATCCTGGGCTGCTCCCAGCATGCAGGTGGGATGCTGCAACCCCTGCTGGGAGCAGCCCGGGCACCATGGTTGGCAGCAGCTACCCAGAGCTGGGGCTGGCTGCTGCTTGCCAAGGAAAATGTCCTTGCATGCCACGCTCGGCATGCATGCCACAGGTTGCCAACCCCTGGTTTAGACTAACCTGAGAAGAATGTATTGATTCAGCCTCGGGCTTTTGGACTGTTTACTTAGCCTCAGGGTCAATGCTAGGGCAATGTGGAGAACTACATGTATTACTTTGTAACAATATAACAATTACACTCAAACACCTAATGCATGTTCCTAAGTTCCTGCTTACCCGGTAAAGCGGATAAGTAGTGAATTTGTGGACTTGTAAGTAGAATTTAAGGGCTTATGTTACCAAAAATGATCTAGATTGGGTCCTTGCCAGTAGATGCAAGACTTCATACAAACCTACATTCATGAAGTGTTTCCATTTTACATTGTCTGTACAGGTCTTCAATGTTTCCGCTTTACATTGTCTGCACCTGTATTTAGGCTTCTGAGTATGTTCAGAAGTGATCCAATTTCAGCAACTAGGTGCCTAACTCTGTCCTAAGCTCCATTGTGATCCAGATCAGAGCTGAAGCATTGAAAACCGGATAAGTCCAGGAGTCTTTTTGTACCTACAGTGAACAGCCAACTCCACCCATTATTCTGATCAAAATTTGAGATTAAGCTTTCACAGTACCTTAGGTATGAGTGGGATTGGCACTATGCAGAGGCAGAAGTAAGACAAACCATACAAAAGCACAACCAGTCAAACAAGCAAACAAAACAACCCCAACCAAACAAAACAAAAAAATAAGATAAAGCATTAAGAGTTTAGGGAAGTTTCTTTTTCCTCTGTGCTTTTAATTTGTACACGAGTCGACAGGAACAGCAAGGCTAGTACCCTATAAGTACAACCTCTCATGATGTATAGAATTTATGGCTTTAAAGATCTTTTTGTTTGCTTATGTTGTCAACTGAGACTATTTAAGAAAACTACATCTATCATTGATCATCTCCAGTGATCAATATTTAAATTTTTCTGAACAATTTTCTTTGTTTTGAATTCTAGTTTGATATACAGAAACTAAGAATCTATTGTGACCCAGAACAAAATAATCGAGAAACTGCTTGTGAAATCCCGGGATTTGTGAGTATGATGGATAAGTTTTCAAAAATCATTTGACTTTGTTTTTCTAAATGATTAATAGAGTTATCTTAATTATGCCCTTTGAAAGAAACATTTCTGCATTTATACCACTATTGTAAGAAACTTGCTTTGGGACTTGGAGGAACATCTGCTAGAATATTCAAATAGGTGATACATTTTTAAAACAGTATTGCTTACTGTAAGATGCAAATATGAAGTCATTGCAAAGAGATCTGAGTCTTGTGTGACAAGTGCTTTGAGATATACATTGCCTTAAGCTCTGCCTATCATATGAGCTATACACTTTAAGTGCACAGTATTTTTTACTATTGCATGCATTGGTAACTCCTTTACTTTATCAAATCCATTATCTGTCTAACAGAACTGTATTTTTAGTCTTCTCATTTAGAATTTCCCATCAGAAGTCATGCCACTTGAGGAGGGGATTGACTCCATTAAGGCCAGGCTTTTGTACAATCCATTCTGAACAAAACACAATTGAAATCCATGTCCTATTATAATCAGGATTAATACAGGGCAGGCAGCAATGGAGTCCCTTCAGACCTCTCTTTGCTCTGTTGCTTAAGGCATGTTGTCATACTGTTTGAGTGAACTAGGGAGGTCACTAGCCTCATGTTGGAAACATGCCAGGGCTGCTAGTTACTGCTCTGTGTGGACTATGGGTATATACAAGCATTACATTTTGATCACCCTAACCTAGCTTAGGGTGATCTAAATGGCTGAGTGTCCAATCATTCACAAGGTTTGGGTTAAAATGGTACACCTGATATAAAGTTAGTTCTCATCTAATGAGAACTGTACATCAGCATGGATTAATTTGATCTAAACTGGGTTAACCCAGCCCAACAAATGTCTACAAGTGTCCCCAGTACAGCCCTGAAGCTGAGAGAGCCCAGCTGCTCCACAGCCCTGAAACTGTGCTGTTTTAACACTTCCTGACCCTGACTGGGCTATTTTTACCTCATCCCAAGACCCTGTAGTTATTTTTTGGTGCAGAGATAGGATGTGTCCATCATCTCTCCCCAACAGCAGCTCCATGCCATTCTTTAGCATTTAATAGAGCAAGCAGCAAGTGGGCAGTGTGTATTTTTAAAGTTGCATTCCCTAGCATGGTCTGACAGTGTAGATATGGTTGTTTATGTATGTAAGTCTAAAAACACAGGCCATATCTAGATGTGCAGGGGTGTGCCCTTGCAGCAGCAAAAATTAGCAGCACAGATGTGTGCTGCTAATTTTTGCAAGCGTATGCTCCTGCATGTATGCTTTGTTGAGGGACAGATTGTCCCGCTTCAGGCAAACTGCCCTTACCTGGCTCTTCTGGGCTCCTGGTGTGCTGGAGGAGCCAGGATACAACTGCAGGAGTGTTTCCCTGAAGGACTGAACCTCCATGTCTTCTGTTGCGTGCTTCTGTCACATATGCCACCCGGCTTTCTTTTTGGATTTCCTGGTAGCAAATTTTGGCTCCATGCTGCACATTTGTAGCATTGGGCACATTTTTAATGTCCCCTGCATGTAGTTTGTGATGCCACAAGGAGGTTTGCAGCCTCACAAATCGCATATGCCTGCATATTTGGATGCAGCCATGAGGGCTATGTTGTCTAAAGCACTCAGAACCCATGGTAAGGGCCAGATTTGCAAAACAGTTCAGCTCCCATTTGAAAATCAGGTAAGGGCTTGATTTACAGAAGTCCTCACTACCAAGAAGCTCCTGGTATGACACATGTGAACAGATTTTCAAATTAGCTAAACACCCAAATGCTGAGTTTTTTCTTTTTCAAAATATGACAGATAATTTGGTGTCCAAACTCATCTGAATTAGAGTTAAGGAGCTGCCCTTGTCTGTATTATAGAAAGTATATTTTGCGTGTTTTGGTGCTAAAGAGAATACTGAGGAAAATGTGATGCTGTAGCCAGTTTTGAAGAAATTAGGTGCAGATTTTCAGTATCCAGATATTACATTTTTTTTTCTTTCCTCCTTTTGTAACCCCACAACTGATTCAGTTTGTATGTGATCAGTTAAGGCCAATTTTCAATAGCATGCACATTGGAGTCAGAAGGATTTAATTTACCAATAGATACCAAATAAGTGGTTGGGTATGGACCTGTTTTGAAAATGTTTAGCCATATGCATCATAATGGGAGCTGCTGGGTTTTGAATGCTCTTGTAAATTTTGGCATTGAGGTTTACAACATGTTTAAATTTAGATAAATTGATTGAAGGAGTATTTAATATTAACAGCTCATTAATGGGATACAGAAAATAAACAAATGAAAACCATCACATTTACGTTATCAGTAGTTTGGCAAGAATGAAGAGGAAAATACTGTTTTTTGCCAGTCAGTTTCATGTGCTTTTGACATAAATTAACTTTAACTGTGAAACCTTGATGAAAACAAAAATATTGGGTCACATCTGAAGATACAATTAAAGGATAGATGGATTTTGACCATATTCCCTCGGTTTCTAATTGTGTCGTAATTCATAAATTGAGCTAGGTTGCTCAGCACTTGCATGGGAAATCTGCTGTAAGCAATGCTGATTAATGATGTTGGTTATTCACTAAGTGAGGGTATGCCATAGTTCTCAGCTAAAATAGCTCAGGACACATCATTCTGTAATATTGCAAGTCCTGGAGACTTCTTTTAACTTATGCAAGTCTTAAGATTGTGGATGGGCCCTCTGCAGTGAGATGGGAATGAATGAAAAAGCAAACTCCCTTGCACCTGTAGAGGATTTACCCAGACTTTGAGTCCTGTAGGATCTGTGATGCCACACAATGATACATTGTGGGTATATCTTTATTGAATGAGGAAAAATCAAGGTAGTTTATTTTACTGACACCTTAACTCCTTGAAGAACATCTTACATGAACTGTTCATTGACTGTATAAAACTGAGGAGGTTACCTCATTTTTAATTTTAACTTTGTAGTTTGCTTTAAAATTCCCACTGATCAGTGTTTGAAAAGTTCCCAGAGGTACACTGATTCATGTGCTTTAGTAGTAGCTTCACGTACATTGAATGATATGGGAAATCTTGCATTAAGGCATCTATTAGCTACAGGCCAGAATTTATGAAGTATTTTTAGCACTTGTTAGAAACATGTTGATTTTTGCTTTTCACATATTCCTATACTCTTGTACTGTGTTTCTTTTATTTCAGAATGGAGAGGTAGGCTTGATCACAGACCACTCAAATTGAATTTAAGGTAGTATTTATCTTTTTGTAAACTCTATTATTTTACCATTTGGGAATATGCAGCTTATTCCGAGAAATGGAAAAAGGTTTGAAAAACTTAAAAGCATTATAATTTGATTAATCAGAACTATATTATTAGTGAACAAAACTGTCAGTGCTAGGTGTGTAAAAGGAAGCATCTTCTCCTAAACTCTCATTTAGGTATTGGGGGAAAAGAAACCTTATTTTGGCAGAGGTAAGAAAAAATAGCTGCCAGTAACTCTAGTTCAGCTACAGATTATCATTATTTTTGAGGCAAATAAAACATATTTCAATTATGGAATCCATCAATATTACTCTAAGAATTCTTTTTCGAGACCCCCTTTTTAAAGCCAGTATTATGCAGGTGTAGAAGTTCAGTACTAAAAAAATAAACTATGAAGTGTTAATTTAAATACAAAATCTACTAGTTTATATCTGAGAATCTAAATTTTTTATAACTTTGATGTCTGCTGTGTGGAAGACATTCATTTATCATAAGGGATAATAAGCCTGGTTTTTATCCAAGTTAACCCAGTTTTATACTAGTATAACTAAGTTTACTTTGTATACTTCTGACATTTTACTAGTGTAAATTTGGAGACACCAAGGCCCAACATTTTTAAATAAAGTATATTTTATAATATACTGATTACTTGTTTTATAGTAACTACAAATGCATCACAAATGCTAGCTAGTGTGATGTATTTAATGGATGTTTTGGATGTTAATTTTAAATTATTTTAAAGATGACTATTAGATTATTCGTACATTTTGTGAGAATTTAGTCATAAGTCTAGTCTAGAGATGGAAAAGGGGAAATCTTATTATAGATACCTGGAGCAAAGCCATCACTACTTAAAACATAAACTTGACTAATCTGATTAGATAAGTGGAGTTTCAAGAGCTCTGAGATATCATAAATGAACAGGTAAATTCTTTGTTGATGTTTTATGTAGCCAGGTCTGGATGAATGCTGCAAAAATATTCGCAAAAGTTCATTTCCAGTCTCTATGGCAAAAGGTCAATTTAATGTTTGTATGTTTATATTGATGATTGATTTTATTTCTGGTAGTGCAAGAATGGCCCTAGTGATGTGGGTTCCACGCCAGCTCCATGTGTATGTCCTCCAGGAAAGCAAGGACCTCCTGGTGCTAAAGTAAGTAAACATCTTTTTTTTGGGTCTTTTTTTATTTTGTCTTTTCATGTTGTATGGTTACTATGTGAGGGTGCAGTCACACTGGGCTCAGTTCTGCTCTCGCTGGAGCTAGTGAGAGTGGATAAGGCAGTCAGGCTATGACAGGTTACCAGCGGCTGATAAAATAACTTTCGGATACTGTATTTACCTGACTCCAAGCTTATTTCAAATTAATGTCGACCCCCCCCAATAATTAGATTCTATACATTTGATTCTATACATTTATTATAACTTTCCATGTATAAAATCTAATATTTGGAGGATTTTCCTAAATTTGTCTCTCTCTCTTTCCATCCCCCTCCCCGCTACAGAGGAGCAGGTGGCAGGGCCAAGTGGCCTGACCCTTGCACATTGCCAACTGTCTCCCTCTTGCCTGCACCCCCAGCATCTGCCTCCATCCTTTGTGATGCCTGTGCCCCCTGCTGCCTGCATCCCCGGTGCCTGTCCTCCCTCCCATTGCTTACTGTCATTCATGGCTCTGGCCTCATTCCAGATCAGGGCAGAGACAACATGGTATCTCTGGCCACAGCCTGACCACACAGCAGTGGTTGCAGCAGCAGCTGCAGCAGTTCTGGAACACTAGAACTACTGCTGCTGCTGCTGTGTGGCTGGATGGAAGAAAGGCCTAGAGTCAGCGAAGACCTAGTCCGGGAACGTCTCATGGGACTAGACTTGTTTAAATCAGCAGGTCCTGACGATCTCCACCCCAGAGCGCTGAGGGAATTATCAGAGGTCATTGCGGAACCCCTGGCACAACTTTATGAGCACTCGTGGTGCTCTGGCGAGGTGCCAGAGGATGGGAAAAGGGCCAATGTGGTCCCCATTTTCAAAAAAGGGAGGAACGAGGACCCAGGAAACTACAGGCCCGTTTAGTTTTACCTCAGTCCTGGGGAAGCTCTTTGAGAAAATTATCCAGGAGCACATTTGCGAGGGACCAGCAGGGGAGATCATGCTTAGGGGCAACCAACATGTGTTTATTTGAGGCAGGTCCTATCAGACCAACCTGGTGGCCTTTTACGACCAGGACACAAAATTCTTGGACGCAGGTGTCACGGTGGACATAGTCTTTCTGGACCTTAGGAAGGCCTTCAAAACTGTCTCTCACTCCATTCTCATTAAAAAATTAGGCTATTGTGGCGTTGATGCCTACACAGTCAGGTGGGTCGCAAATTGGCTGGAGGGCCGCACCCAGAGAGTGGCGGTGGACAGGTCTTATTCGACTTGGAAGAATGTGGGCAGTGGGGTCCCCCAGGGCATGGTCCTTGGGCCCGCACTGTTTAATATCTTCGTCAGCAACTTGGATGAGGGGGTGAAAAGCACCTTGTTCAAATTTGCAGATGACGCTAAGATGTGGGGAGATGTGGGCACACTGGAGGAGAGTGATAGGCTGCAACTAGATCTGGACAAGTTACAGAGGTGGGCAGATGAGAATAGGATGGGTTTCAGGACTGACGAGCACAAGGTATTGCACCTAGGGAGGAAGAACCAGCAGCATACCTACAGGCTGGGGAACTCCCTTGTTGTCAGTACAGAGGCAGAAAAGGATCTTGGTATCATTATTGATTCCAAAATGAACATGGGACACCAATGTGGGGACGCGGTCAGAAAGGCTAACTGCACTGTGTCATGCATCCACAGATGCATCACGAGCAGGTGCAAGGAGGTGATCCTCCCCCTCATGCAACACTGGTCAGGCCACAGCTGGATTACTGCATCCAGTTCTGGGCACTGCACTTCAGGAGGGATGTGGACAGCATCGAGAGGGTCTAGAAGAGGGTCACTCGCATGATCAGGTGGCAGCAAGGCAGGCCCTATGAGTGGAGGCTATGGGACCTGAACCTGTTCAGCCTCTACAAGAGAAGACTGAGAGGGGATCTGGTGGCGTCTACAAAGTGGCCAAGGGGGACCAGCAGGCATTGGGAGAGTCCCTGTTCCCCCGAGCACTACCAGGAGTAACAAGGAGTAACGGCTATAAGTTGACTGAGAGTAGATTCAGGCTAGACATCAGGAGGCACTACTTTACGTTCAGGGCGGCTAGAATTTGGAACCAATTTCCAAGGGAAGTGGTGCTCGCTTCTACCCTGGGGGGTCTTCAGAAGGAGGCTAGATAATCACCTAGCCGCGGTTGTTTGACCCCAGCATTCTTTCCTGCCCATGGCAGGGGGTTGGACTTGGTGATCTACTTGGGTTCCTTCCGACCCTACCAACTGTGAAACTATGAAGAGCTACCATGTGCTCTGGGTTGGAATGAGGTCAGAGCTGTGACTGACTGTAAGTAGTGGGGGGGATGAGCATGGAGGCAGAGGCTGTGGATGGTAGGTGAGGGAGTGGGCAGAGGCAGCTGCTGTATCTGACTCTGACTCCAACATTGAGCCCCTGCTGGGGCCAAAGTCAGAGCTGCAGCAGCTGTTTGCCACCCCCAACCCCCATCTTGAATCCAGGGTAAGATTTTGAATGGGAAGAAAAAATTTCATACTGATTTTGAGTAAATATGATAAATATATATTTTAATAGGCAAGTGTTTGTACTTTTGCAGATGATTTTCTAGTTTGTATCTAACAAGTAATCTCACACCCTGAAGTTCATTGTTTAACAAGGAAATCCTTAAGATTAAAAAAAATTTGCTCATAATGATTTCTTAATTTTTTCTTAATTTTATTTTAATTAAAAATAGTTACTTGGGGGAGTTCATTTTGAGCCCTTGTAACTTCTGTGTTCCCTGTCAAGTCCTGAATCTATAGTGAGGACTGGAATCTGCTCTAGTGTTACTTACTAATAGAATAGATTCAAATTTTGGCTGCTGCCTTTCAGAATGAATATACTGCAAATGCTAGCCTACCTCTTCCAAACCAATAAGAAAATCTAAATTGCTAGTGACTCTGTACAAATTTTATGTGATGATATGATGGGATTCTGTTAATCACTGAGTTGTTATTGCTTTTCACTCTGTGTCAAAAGATGACTTTCACAGTCAAACTAAGTTTTAGATCACCATTTGTGACATAATCTCTAAATCTTCATCAGCTGTACTGATTTGTTAATTGGAACAGAATTTATAATATATGAAGCTGAACAAAATCCAGTTTACTGATGATCCAGAGTTCCTGAAAAAGTAATTGTGTTGGGCCCATTCATATTTCTTTTAAGGTCAATGGAATTTATGCAGGGACTGGGATGTTTTTTCTCTCTCAAAAAACAAACAAACAAAAAACCCACAGAAGATGAAAATGCAGTGAATAAGAAGGTGTTTTTTGCTTTCTTATCATAAACATGACCTTTGAGGAATGGTAACTTTCTTTTCCTCTATGAGCATGATTCAAAAACTCCCCCAGTGGAATCATTGGAAAAAAACCTTGGCCCTGTGTAAGCATTGGACCAAGTCCTGAAGAGAAGGTATAAAGGAGAATCTTCTTTGATTTAAAAGGCTTTAAATATGTTCATAGTGCTTCTTTCTTTTATTGAGTTTTGGCTTTAAAAGCAAGCATCTGTTAAATCCTGGCTCAGGGTGGTATTGCTAAATTAATACCTATTAATGGAAGTTTTGTCATGTGTTTTGTTTTCATGCTTTAAATTAAATATAGGATATAATATATGGGACCAGTCTTCCAAGCCCTACATACAAGTCAATGGCAGTTTCCCCATGGAGAGATTATTGGACCAGGCACTTTGCCTCATAGGAATGTCCATAAAAGTTGTCTGGGCTTGCAGCCAGTGGCTTATGGAACATTGTCCCTTGAAGGCCTAGTTTCCCAAGTAGAAATGTGCTAGGGTAAAGGTTCCTTTATACTAATTATAAACTTCTGTTTCTTATATCTTTGTGCACTGATGCATAACTATTCTGCTACAGGGGGATCCTGGACAACCTGGGAACCATGGTTATCCTGGACAACCTGGTCCAGATGGTAAGCCTGTGAGTACTAAAAACTTAGTCATATACAGTACTGTAAATGCAAAACTAACATGAAAGGGGGGAGACAGTACCAAAATCTCAAGTTAAAATAATGGATTTTGGTGCTAGGCTGATCAATTCTAGGCCAAGCTGCATCAGAACTTAATGAAAGTATTTTGATTGTGGTAGTCTAAATATCATAGAAATGATACCATGAAACACTGCTCTGAACTGAAACTCAATATATACACACAATTGCTTTTGGGAGAAGGTTGAATCTAGAACTCAGATTTTGAAGTGATTTCTCTGTATTTAATTTGAGAAAATCTGTTCCTCTTTCTTTGTTCATTATGATAATACTATGGCTTTTTGTTCTTCTGGAGAAAAGTTTGAGATTTCTTGTACAAGCATCTGAGATATAAGAAAAAAGGTATTGCTTTGTGTCATTTTTCATATATTGGCTTGTCACAAGTCCTCCTTTCAAGTGACTAGTTTGTCTCTACCTCTTTTAAAGGTGGGAACCTGTGATCTGGTCACTCTGATTGGGCTGCACACCAGTTGCCAGCCATGTTGCATATTGAACCAGTCATTACTGGCATCTGTTGAAATATGTTGCTGTCATGGGCTTAAAGTAAGGAGCTCTAGTTTTATACAGTGAAACACAAGCAGACTCTTCAGAAGGCAGGGTGGCACCTTAGAGACTAGAATTGACCAGACAATTGATGCCAAATTGCTGTTTATTCATTTTTTTTCATGTAGGAATTGCCCCTTCTTGCCAATGTAGAGAGCAGAGGGGCACTGTAAGCAGGTGATAGCTTATACGGTGTTGATGAATAGGGCTTTCTATACTTACAATGCAATCTTAAAATTGCAGCCACTCAAATTAGCAGTTATACTTGGACTTTGCTGCAATACTAACAGTGACGAGGACAACAGAATTCTGGTCATTCCTTAATGCCTGTAGCTTGAACAGATTGGATGGATCATTTAATAATCTCCAGTTCCTTCTGGAAAATGACAACTACCTCAAGGTAGCCAAGACGGAAGGGTTGGGGGAGAGGGACGAAAACTAGGTCTTACAGGTGTTCTTCCCAAACTCAAATGACTTCTCTCCAGCAAAACTACCTAATTCCAGTTCTCATCAAGTCCTCAGACGCATATACCTTTCTACAGATACAGGTGCCAACTGTACCCCCACATTGGTACAAACCATATCATCTCTAAACATTATAATTGTATCATCCAGAGTTCATTCACCTGCTCTGCTACCAGTGCCATTATCTGTTTACAGTGCCTCTCTGTTGTCTACACTGGAGAGATGGGACAGTCCCTATATACAAACATGAATGGATATTGATCTGACATCAGTTCCAGAAACCCACAAAAACCTGTGGCAGAACACTTGAGCCTCCTTGGACATTTCCATCACTGCCCTCAGGGAAGCTTTCTTTAAACAACAATGCTTTAAAAATTGACTTGAATGTGAAATTGCGGAACAAGAAATCATCCACAGGCTGGATTGTGTTAAGCATGGTCTCAACAATGACTAGGTAATGCTATCTCATTATCTAGTCTAGCTGTTAACTCCAGCTTTTTACCACTAAGTCCTTTTATTGGTTAACTGCCTTGTTTATACATATTGATATGTTAGGCCTTCTTTTTTCCTTTTTCAACAGTGCCTCCACCCTCTGTCCCTTTTCTTTGTATTTAAATTCCTTTCTACTAAAAATGCAAGAGGCAATAACTTTTGTGGATGATACCAGCTGCATGGTTAGTACATAAACACTTTTGGGTATCACAGTACCCTTCCTTATTTCTCTTGGCTCTTCACAACAGTATCACTTTAACACTGCTTTCTACTAAAATACCTTTCTTTCTGCATGTCTATTCATAGTATCTGAAGAAGTAGATTTCTGTCACCTACATAATCTCATGCCTTTCTGAACCAGTCACTCTTCAATGTACCGCCGTGTCCTACCTTCTGCCCAACACAGCTAACTACCGGTCTTCAAAACAAAGTGATTAACTTTTGCCCAAAGGTAGAAAGTACATAAAGGAATGAGACGTGCTTATCATCCTTTCAAGCTGGTAGGTAGAAGTGGCTTAGTTTTGGTCTCCTTGTTCCTTTTTTTGCAGCCTGCTTCCTGCAGCCCTGATTCTCAATTAGTGTCTGCATCAGCTTGTACCCGTTGACAGTTTCCTCCCTTGAGGGACAGATCATCACCCCACAACATTGGCTTACCTCTCTAGATTCTTTCTCTAGGCAAACAGCCTAGTTGTCTTTGTGCTGAGAAGTCCATTTACTTCATAGATGTAAACCAATATTTTGTGTTTGAGGGATGTTTTACCAAGGCTATAGTTTTACCTTCCTGCTTGCTTTCTTAGTAAACCCTTTTCATCTAACTCTCTGGCAAATAATCAATCAAAAACATGCTCACAGAAGAATGCAAACTGTTAATAGAAAATAATACGGATATTTCCAGGTTTTCCACTTGTGCTTTTAAAATACATGTGGTGGGAAAAATACTGTATATCATCCCTCCCTCCTTCCCCAACACACACCAATTTGCTTTCAAGCCTACAGTTAGAAATGCAGGGTAAGAATTGGAAGAAAGTGAATGAATAACAGATGTTCCTAAACTGAAAATGACAAATTTGGCAATGGTCAGTTTGGTCATTAGCTTTAGAATGGTCTTAAAATTATAATAAGAAATTTAAAAAAATCCAAAAAGAAAAGCAGTCTTAGATTTCAGAATTCTGAATCTAATTGGAAGCTTCCGAGAGGTTGTCACTCAAGTTCCTGATCTTCGTAAGTGCAGGATTTTGACTGTTAATAGATTTAGGTCTGTGGGTGTTGCTGAACCATTGATTGTAGTGTGCACTTCAGGTGTATTGAAAGAATGAGGGTCAGAGGCTACGAGATTTTGACCACCCAAATGTCTGGCACAAAAATACAAAACCTGATGTAGCTTGTTGTAAAAAATGTGAAAGCCAGTTGGGAACATTACAATGGTTTACTTTTGAAATGATAAGTACTTTTCCTGCCATTTTGAACTGAAAAAAATACTAAAGAAAAGGAAGAAATCGCTGTACACGCCTATGTGTGCAGGCACATAGGCTAAAGTCAGTGGTGTTTAAGTCTTTTCTCTCTGTGTGTGTGTGTGTGTGTGTGTGTGGTGGGGGGAGCAGCATATAATATTATATTATATATTATGTATATATTATACAGAAAAGCCAAAGCCACCAAACTATCTGGTAACCTTTTCACTGGGTAGGAGTAATAACGTCAGTTGTGATGGGGCCCCTTACAGGAATTAAGATACCTTAATGCATGCTAATTGCAACTTGTTGGTGATAATAGTGATATTGTTGTTAAATGATTCATGATGATAATAAACAACTTGTATATGCTGCCACTAAAGCAGGAGTTGTCTGAAACAAATCTTAAATTGAAATATGTAATTAACAAAAATTGATGATGTATTGGAAACTAATGAAGACATCACAAATTAAGAATAAGGCTATAATGAAATGAACTGAATAAATGGAAGGTGTTTATCAGGACCCTACAAGTCCAGTCTTACCTCAATTTATCAGTGACCATGTGGAATAGGAGACCGACACCATGTTCTTAAAATATGCCGAATGAAAATCTACAAACTTGTTCGCATTTCAAATACTATTGAGGATAAAAATAGAAAGAGAATTGGAAACATGAGTGAAAATTTACATAGAGGAAAACAGATTTACTTTAGAAAAGACAACAGAATTCATGCAGAGGTATTGTCATGAAGTAGGATGATGACTTTTATGGTTCTAGTTATACTTCAAGCAGGAATGTTGTATTAATTCTGGGCCATTTTACTACCAGATATGCACAAACAAGAATTAATTCAGAGGAAGTCTTTTAGCTCTGCTGTATGTATGGAGCTGTAATTCTTCTGAGAAGGAACTGAGACTTGTTATGAATTGTTTCCCAAATTCCAAGCAGCTTTGGAGGAAAAATGCAAAAAAATTGCAAAATTCAGTGCAAGAGAGACTGCTAATGGAATATTAGTATGGTGGAAGAGCTGGTTCTTCTAATCTTCAAATACTGATAATTTACCAACCTTTAGAAATGGTATCAAACCAAAACTGTTTTTACAACAACTCAAATTTTGTAGAAATTCATGTCCAAATATAAATCTGGCTTTTTTTCCAAACGTTGTTGAATTAAAAGATAAGTAATTGTATTATTCAAAAAGCTACTGATTAAGTAAATCCTCTGCAACTTCACTGTGGCTATAGTAAGTGACTTGGCTTTTATCTTTATTACTTTTAGTATTACCTGAGAATTTTTGTTTTGTTTTGCCTGAAAGGGCAGTCATTTTTATGGATTAATTAAAAGACTTAAGTTTTTGTATTTTTGCTAAGAGTTTTAAAAGTGATGGTAGTAAATTTGATGTCCATGTCAGCTATATATGGAAAGAGTGAAATTTATGCTTGCTTGGAACTGCACACTGTACAGCTTATGAATTTTGCCAATTACATAGAAAAGGCTTTATGCAGCACTTCATAAAATGTCCAGATTTTTACTTTGGTTGCTTAGTAACATTTTGGCCATGTACTAGGGGTAACAGATGGTTGATATAATTATGGTGATTCCTTTTGGAAGCAGTGTTACTATGAAGAAAAATTGTACAATAAAGATACTTATTTTCAGGAACTGAAAAATAAACTGGTCTAAAATATAACACTTGGTATATTAAGTCCCGAAGGAATCTGGTAATAGGAATGGCAATCCATTATAACTTCAAGTTTTCAGCATCTCCAAAAGCTGAGATTCTCATGTTTCCTGTAGTCTATAATATGAACCTCTGTGGCTTGTAGGAAACTTCAGTTTATAGCCTTGTGGGCAGCCCTTTTACCTCAATGCAACAAAATTTCAGTGGTCATTATCTTGAAAACCGGTAGAGCAAGATCTAATTATTATAGTCACTGAAACCCTGGAATCCCAAACTTCAGTTGTTATAAAGCGTTAC